AATATATTATATTTGGTATTAAAAAAGAATAGTACTAACTTTAAAAAATAATATTTATTTTAAATATGCTTCCATTTACACAGATTTCCTTTTATTAATTTAATTTATTAGAATTAATAAACCCTATTGAACTCTTTACTAATCAATAGAGTTTCTCAAATGATCAATTATCCGTTTGAATATTTTTAATCTTAATTAGAGAGCATTAAAACATTCTTTTCTCCCAGTGCATCCACTCACCCCAGATGGCCATAAATAAAGTATTTGATGTGCATGAAGTTAATGTCTTATTATGCCCAAGTTGTCAAAAACAAGCGACCCAGCCTGGCTGTTAGTTAAGGCGTGCTTAATGTGCGTGCGGGCGGCTAAAAAGGGGGCGTTCGCCCCGGTCAGGGGCGTGGGCGCGGATTTTATGAACTTGAGCTCTGAGCTCTGAGCCTGGAGCCTGGAGCACGGAGCCCAAAAACCCGATCCCGCTCCAGTTTCTCGGGCTTGAGTTTTGATTTGGCCTAAGTACATCAGCCGGCGCCGCACGGTTTAATGATAACAAACTCAACACAAGTGATAACGCGTCAAATTACCAAAAGCATCGCACATGTGTGTGTGTGTTTGTGTGTGTTGATGCAGGGTGCTAGATGGTGAAGGAGTGTCGCGGGTGTTGTAAATACAATCAATGAAATTTCAACTGGTTGTCCTGGCTCTTTTCCCGACCCTCATCCATTTTCCATGGCTCTCGTCTCGCTGTGTGTGCCATGTGTGTGTGTGTGTGCCTGTGCGTCTGGCAAAACGAAATTAGGCAAATTTAATGAATTTATGCTGGTGGCATCCCCTTTGTAATCCGAGTGCGCGCAGAGCGAAGTAAGTGACCTGCTTGGCTCTTGGTTAAGTGGCCTTGCTCCAGCTGCTAGGAGTTTGGGAGGTTTTTTGCCAAAACACTGGGGGAAATTTAGATGCAATTGTGATATCTTTAGCATATAGTATATGGGAATACCTTTACTGAGAACTCCCAACAAATTATGATATTCAAATAAAATCAAGAAACCATTTTTTATCCTTAGAAAGTGAGGCCTGTTCGACCCAATATAACATTGATACTTTGATTAATATATGTAGCTTCCATGTAATTAAATTTTAACACTTTTCTTCAAGTGTATGCTAGTGGATAAGAATGAAATAAGCTAGAATGCCAAGCTCTTGCTCCCCTAATGTGGAGTACGGAATGTGGCGTATGCCGTATGGCAATGGAAATGGAAATGGAAATGAAGAGGTAGAAGTGGATGCAGCGAGGTGTATGGATACCAAACTGGAGGCAATTTGCCGGCAGTTTGCGAATGCGTTGAGTGCGTGGAGTAAATGTTCTGTGGCTGCTTAATGCCTCACTCGGGGCCATCATCGTAGGGCAAAAGGGATGGGATTAATTCAAGCCTTAAATTATAACCAGAAATTACGAAAAACGAAAATACTTTCAGGCTAAAGCAAATTTCCGACAGTCTAGGTTACCACCTGTGGATGGTCTTACAAGTAGAGAAAAGGAAAACATATACTTTAAGTTGAAGTATTAATGAATGTGCTTACTGACTTATTAAAGTAACTAACCCTTCAGTCCCTAAATTATAAAATTTATATATTCTATTTAAAGTTGGAACACTTTCCGAGAACTCTACCAGGACAAAGTTTCCCCTCACACCATATTTGATAACAATTTTCCTACGAATTTCTTTGGTTTTACATATCGCCCAATCAAAACGACAGGCTTGTTCTCTTCCACCCACTAAACGCATTGCCCAATTTAAGCAATTTAAGAAATGACTTCCTCCTCGGCTTCACCGCAACCACTGGAACGCGATGTCCCATCAGCCACCAAATCGCAGGGCCACCAATCCGACCGCATTCACGTCCCCAGAAGCGTCATTATCGTGCCCCAAGAATCGCCATGGAACCAACACTCTGCCCAAGTGGTTGGGGGATGGGCATCAAGAACCAAAACTAAGTTGTCATAAGGAGTGAGCCATGAAAGGAGAGGAGTCGTGGGAATAAGGCGGGCATAGAACTCGAGCACGGAGCAGGCCAAAAGTCGGCAGGGAATTGGCTTCATTGCGTCTAAATGTGGTGTCAAAAGACACGGCGATACGGCAAACTGCCTGCCCTACCATACTTTGCAAGGGTTTTCTTCAGTGTTTTGTCCAACTATCGATTGCAAGGCTTCCGTTTTCTTTTATATATATTTTAGGAACAATTAGGGATAGCTTTAACTTAAAATCATTTATTTAACTTTACAGTTGAAGAAAGTTACTTTTAAACCCTTTAAATATTATTAAAAGGAAGTTATTATCAAGGCCTATTTAATTAGATATACTTACACAGATCTTTCTGTAATTTTTATACCCTTGCAGGGTATTATAAGTTCAGTCAGAAGTTTGCAACGCACTGAAGGAGGCACCTCCGACCATATAAATTATATATATTCTTGATCAGGATCAACAGCCGAGTCGATCTAGCCATGTCCGTCTGTCCGTCTGTCCGTTTCTACGCAAACTAGTCTATCAGTTTTAAAGCTATCTGAATGAAACTTTGCAGTTAGCATTCTATATACTTCCACTCGAATATATGTCGGAACGGACCGGATCGGACGACTATATCATATAGGTGCCATAGGAATGATCGGATAATTTTTACAAAAAATAACTATAACAATTTCAGTTTTCAACAGAATTTGATCAAATTTGAGATATAGCCATTTTTCTATATTCTACAATTTTGTATAAAATTTTATGAAAATCGGACAACTATATCATATAGCTCCCATAGGAACGATCGAGAAATTAAGACAATTCAAAATTATAACATTTTCAGTTTTCAACAGATTTTCAAATTTGAGGTATAGCCATTTTATATCAGTCTTAAATTTTTTGTAAAATTTTATGAAAATCGGACGACTATATCATATAGGTGCCATAAAAACGATCGTTAGATGTGGAGAAAAATGCACATCTGTGACTGTAAAACTGCAAATATAATATGTAAAGGTGAATGAAATGAAAGCAGGTATTACTTCATTGTTTTTTAACACAAATAAATATAATTTATATTGTTGCGATTCCAAGTCATAGAAGTTCTATCTGCAAGGGTATATAAACTTCGGCGTGCCGAAGTTAGCTTCCTTTCTTATAAATATATTAATATTATATAAAATAATATAATAATTACAATATTGTAATAATGTACTGTATGCCTCTGTAAGCCTCTGCCTCTCGCTCTCTTTCTTACTCACAATAACATTTGGTATGTCTGCCTCCCTCTGTTGCAGCTCTGTTGCCTCCCTCTGTTGCAGCTCTAGATATGGCGCTTACGCTCTATCTCTCTCTACAGAGGTAGCTCTTTCCCTCTCGCTCTCTTTCTCTGTTATTATTGATCGGGAAGTATAAATAGAGGTTCTTTGATCGCCGCGACCTCAGTCTGTCCTAGGGGTACCTAGTGTTAACATCTTTAGTGATAGTGATAGTGATTACCCTTCGACCTAAAATATATGACGTGGCCAATGGAACACATCCAGATAAACAGGAAGAGATCTTCGATGCCATGATAATTCTAATTGAAGTCACCACGATTATAAGTCGATATTGGAAGGAATAACATCTAAAGTGATAGTGAAAGAAGAACACTTCGATGAATCCATATCGTAAGATGATACTTAATTAACTCACCAGGAATATAACTCTACATCGGAAGGAATTAAGCAATGACGAAAGATGACGTGTCCTCTACTGGGGTAAGTCTTTATTTTGACAAATATATCATTATTATATTTTAAACATTAAGAGAAGCTATATTAGTGATCAGGCCTAGGTCTAGAATAAGTTGTGCTAGCTATGAATTTATTTTTTCATTAATTTCCCTTTTGCCATTTATAGGGTCGGAAATGGCTCCTTCACTGATACAAATTATATTTTCCTCTGCAATCGATTTTGTGTAAAATTTTATGAAAATCGGACTACTATATCATATAGCTCTCATAGGAACGATCGAGAAATTAATACAATTAAAAATTATAACTTTTCCAGTTTTCAACAGATTTTTATCAAATTTGAGATATAGCCGATTCATATTATTATACAATTTTGTGTAAAGTTATATGAAAATCTGACTACTAATTCATTTAACTGCCATAGAAACGGTCAAGAAATTAACGTTTCAGAAATAACGTTTTCAGTTTTCAGCTGATTTTCACCAAATTTGAGAAATAGCCATTTTATATCAGTCTTAAATTTTGTGTCATACAATGCAAATATAATATGTATAGGTGAATGAAATGAAAGCAGGTGTTACTTTTTTGTTTTTTATCATAAATATAAATAATTTTTATTTTATGGATTCCTAGTCATCGAAGTTCTATCTGCAAGGGTATATAAATTTCGGCGTGCCGAAGTTAGCTTTCTTTCTTGTTTCTATATATTTCTTATCCCATCGTATTTGCAAATATATTATTGACCAGCAGCAACAGACGACACAATCTAGCCAGGAAATTATTTCAACTGTCAATAGAAAACGATACAAAGTAGCGTATCCCAGTTAAATGTTAAAAAAATAAAACCATTTTAACTATGATAGTAAATGGTTAATGAATTATTAATATAACTACATTCCAAAATGCTATTCCTTCTTTGGTTCAGACTTTAAAATGTCTATAAACAAGTTGCCAATAAGTTAACGCAGTGCCACGTCATCTTCTTTAAGACCCGAACCCAATGTCCCTTAAAAATATTTTCGAAATCATAAAGATAATCACGCACCCGAAAAAAATTTATGGTTATAATGGAATTCCTTTGGACCCAGGACCACCGTAAATTCAATTAAAGTCATAAAACTTCAGCATTGTTGTTGGTTTTGTTTGTAGTTGGTTTACACACACTCACATTTATTTTTTCAGAAAAATTAAATTGAAAGAGAGAAATAATGCTCTCTTTGTACATACAGATTTCTTTTGTATTTAGTGTCAGTAGTTAATGTGTTTCCTGTTTTTTTTTTGCACATTCCTTACACGTTCTTTCGTGTTGAGCCATAAAAGGTTTCCAAAAAGTTAATTTTCCAAAAGTAAAAATAATGAATTTATTTATCGAACAAAGGTCGCTCGTCAGTCAGCCTTTGTTCATTGTCATCAAGACCGGACAGACAGGAATGATCCTTAATTTCATCTTCCTCCTCCACTCGTGCCTCACACATCGGTTAACTCCTCGCGCTACGTTCTCATTTCATTTTGTTTTGTTTTGTTTTTAGTTTAGTGATACGTTGCATTAAATTAAGAAATTATCACATCATATTTGAAATTATGGTTTTGCGTTTAAGTAAAGAGTGGTTTTGTTTTGATGTTTTTTTTTTCAATTGGAAAGCGTTGCCGTTGGCCTTTCGACGCGGCGTCAATTAACTTAAAAATTCACAAATTTAATTAAACATATAATGGTTATGTTTAAAATAGCTTGCATTTTAACGTGTTCCCCTTCATTTTTGGGGGCTTTGAAAAGTCTGAAGTCGGTTTCGGGTGAAAAGTAGTACGAAAACTTAAACTTAGGCTATTAACTTAAATTAACTTAGGGCCTAGCGCGGTTTAGTTTAGCTACTGAAATCTCCTGTTCCTTTAGCTTCTATTACTGCTCATATTTTGACCTCGATCTAGTCGAAGCGCGAGTGTCTGCCCTCGCCACCGCCGCCGCCGCCGCCGCCGCCAAAGCCGCGTCCGTTGCTCAGGCTGCCCTTCTTGAAGCCGCCGCCACCGAAACGGCCACCGCCGCCACCTCCATATCGGGAGCGTCCGCCGCCACCGTCGTAGCGCGAGTTGCGGGCAAGATTTTCCAGGGCAGGATTGATTTCCTAATGAAGAAGATATTAAGGAATCATTAGCAATTTTTAGACTTTAAATGTATGATGAAAACTCACCTGATTAGCCTCTCTGAGCACATCGACCAGCGCCTTGGCCTGCTTGGCGTTGTTCTTGGTGAAGAAGGCGAAGGAAGTGCCCTTAGTGTTGGAACGACCTGTGCGTCCAATCCGATGAATATAGTCCTCGCTGTTTTGCGGATAGTCAAAATTGATGACATACTTGATGCCGTCCACATCTGCATAAATGTCCCAAGGTAAATTAAAAAGGCACACAGATTAGTCACATGTTCTCAATGTCAAAGCTTACTAATTATTTTTGGGTATATAATATATATTAAATATAAATAATTGAACAAGTTTTCAAATAGCCAAATGATTTACACGCTCTGCGCGTTCGCTTGCAACAATTTTTAGCGTTTTTCCGAGAGATGTTTTGAACACTTTGAACACACTTATCTTTTTTTGAATGGATTTTATTATACTTTTTGGGTTTCGTTTACGTTAGCATACTATCGAGTCTATGGGGTTGTTTTGTTTTGTATCTTTTTTAGGATGTTGTATTTTTTTTTGGTTTTAGAGAAAAAGAAAATGTTTCAAAATGTACGTTACCTTCTTGGTGCTATAAAATTGTTTCATTCAATTTTTCTCTCAATCAAAATCTCTGATTGGCGCCGCGCAGCTCGTGGTCCAAACTCTCGCCAGAAACAACAAAGGATAGGACGGCGGTCGATCTCGATCGCACGGCGAAGCGGAGAGTTTGTTGCATTGAGCCGCGTGCGCCTCTGACTAAGCTCTCTTCTCATATGGACCATATTATTGGATGACCACCGAGAGGAGACACGACCAGTACATTTACTTTATATATATACTTTCTCAAGGGGATTAACAACAACAAGCGGGCCGCCTTTTTCGTCCAGGAGCAGTAGTGGGTTCATTTCATTACGACATTATTGATACGGCGGCAAGGCAAACGTAGGCAGGCAGGCCTGCAGGCCGGCAGGGGTTGGTGGTTGATGGAAAGCAGCAGGACGGACGCAGGATGCACCCAGCAGTAGCAGCATCAGCGTCAGCATCATCATCTTTGTCTTGATCCTCATCATCATCATCAAAAGCACACACACACATACATCATCCCGCTGATCGTTCATCCTCCGGGCAAGCGCAATGTCTGGTGATTGTCTTGGAGTGTGAAATGTGTTGTGTGGAGGAGGTGGTGTTGTTTTTGCTGTCAAGTCAATGTGCTTCTTGCTTTTGCTGCTCTTTTTTATTTGGTTTGTTGGTTTTGCAGGTGCATGTCCAATAATATTTGTGCTTTTCTCGAGAGAGAGAGAGAAGAGGAGGGGGAAGACCACCACATCTTGCTGCATAGCGGAGGAGACTCTGCCTGGACTTTTGTTCCTTGTAGCGCGCCGCGTCGTTGTCTCTGCCACCACTGCTGTTGAATAAAAGCTTGGCGGCTCTCTGATGGGGCTCGGGGCTCGGTTCAGTTGTTGTTGTTGTAGTCGTTTTTTTATTTTTTATATATATTTTGGATCTTTGGTTGAGTGGTTTTCGGTGGTGTAGGATCATCACATCGTTCTTTCTCAACACAAAAATCGGGGGACTCCAGAGGCCACATAATGATGCATGATGTTGGGGATATTCGATATTTCGTGTCTCGCGGCGAATCTGAACTTTCATCGGTCCTTTTGCACAAAACTATATATGCATATGCACCACACATATGGGGTGTATATATATATCGTCCACATATATATATTTGTATATATATAATATATATCAATTAAATTGATGTTGTTGGCAAAAGTCGCTCAAGTCACGACGGTTCGCAATGGTCGCCGCTCATTCATTATCCTCCCCATCATACTACCAAAAACGGCCTCTGTAAACGAGAAAGAAACAAGAAAGAGAGAGAGAGAGGGGAGAGAGAGAGAAAGAGGCAGAGAGAGACACGCACAAAGACAAAAATTGTTGTTGTTGTTTTGTTGTGTTACACGCAGCACACATACAAAAACACATAATGTATATATAGAAAATATATACATCATTTTTTGAGTAACATTTTTTTTGATTATTTTTTTTGCAAGGGTTGGGCCGGGTTTTTTTTTGCGGGTTGGTGGGTGGGTGGTTGGGTGGGTCAGGGGATGGGGTAAAAGTTCAAGTTGATTATTCGATTTTGGCATTTCGGCTTATGTCTAAAGGAACAAACAAACAACAAAAAAATAGGGAACCAACTCTATTTCTGAATTGGCGCGCTCGCTACAAATGTTCAGGAGGAGGAGAGTATCTCTCTCGAGGTGCAGTTAGGTGGGATTGGGTTCGGGTTTGGGTCTCAAATTCATCTCGCATTGTGATTGGGTGTGTGTGTGTGTTGTGTTGCGATGTGATGACGTATGGGGATCGGTTAGGTTACTTTTAATGGGCATGGTGGTGTCTTTTTGTGGCATGAATGGGTGTAAGCAAATGGCCCTGGGATGTGTAATCTTATCACTAAACCAACAAAAAAAAAAACTAGCAGCAGGCCCCCATTTCCTCTCTACGTAATCTAAACTGGCACGTGGGCGGAAACTTACCGAGTCCTCGGGCCGCCACATCGGTGGCCACCAGGATGTTGGACTTGCCCGACCGGAATTCACGGAGGACAAAGTCACGCTCCGATTGCGACTTATCGCCATGGATCGCTCCACAGCGGACGCCAAAGCTGCGAATGAAGCGCACCAGATTGTCTACGCGCCGCTTTGTCTCCACGAAAATGATAATCTTGCCGGGGTTCTCGCTGGTGTCATAAATGTCCGAAAGCAGGCTCTTTAGTCTATGTTAAAAGAAGATAATTCATCGGTTAGAGATCGAAATTAATATGTATCTCCCGTCACTTACTTCTCCTCCTTGCTGAACTCGTCGCACACCTCCACCACCTGGCGGATGTTGTGGTTCGCAGACAGTTCCAATGATCCAATGTTAATCTGTATGTAGTTGCCCAAAAAGTCCTCGGCCAGCTGCTTGACCTCCTTGGGCCATGTGGCGCTCCACATGAGCGTCTGACGATCGGGACGGATCTGTGAGACAATCTTTCTGATCTGGGGCTCGAAACCCATGTCCAACATACGATCCGCTTCGTCCAGGACCAAGTAGGTGCAACGCTTCAGGTTCGTAGAGCCGGCAGATAGGAAATCAATGAGTCGTCCGGGTGTGGCAATGACAATTTCACAACCGCGCTGTAGATCCCGCATTTGGCCGCCCTTCGGGGCGCCGCCGAAGACGCAAGTGTTTCGCACATACGATGACGAACCGAACTCGGTGGCCACCTGCTGGATCTGCTGGGCCAGCTCCCTAGTGGGGGCCAGCACCAGAGCGATGGGTCCGTCCCCGCGCTGCAGCGGCTGCTGGTTGTTGATGTGAACGATGGCCGGTAGAATGTAGCCGAGCGTTTTGCCAGAACCCGTCTTGGCAATGCCCACGAAATTCGAGCCACTCATGGCAATGGGCCAGCCCTGCGCCTGGATCGGGGTAGGCTCTTTGTAGCCCTGACGGCGGATCTCCTTCATGACGTAGTCGGGCAGATAGACCTCAGAGAAGTCCTGAATGGGATTCTGTGCCTGTCCACGAACGGTAATCTCGTGCTCATCGCGATAACGCTGCACCTCATAAGGCGAACGAGCCGCCACATTGGGGTGTTCCTGGTAGAAGTTCTTCTTGAAGGGTGCCAGGTTGGAGAAGTCCACTGGACGCATGGGCAGATCCTGGCTGCCGCCGCCTCCGCGACGATCACCACCGAATCCACCACCGCCGCCTCCAAAACGGTTACCGCCTCCACCGCGGTCATCACGACGCTTCTCAATACGACCGTTGCGTACGCCATGGTAATCCCCACCGCCGCCGCCACCGAAGCGATTGCCGCCGCCGCCACCGCCACGACGGTCATCACCGCGGTCTCCGCGCCCGCCACGTGAATTTTGACCAAAGTCACGATCGTGAGGTGCCCTGGAAAATAGAAAAAGACCGAGTTAGTTTATGACATACAGTCAAATTGTGTTGTGAAAGGAACGCTCAAGAAAAGAAATTGTACATTCATGTGATTTATTCTCTTGCAGCTTGGTTTCTTTCGGGAGTGTTCTTTGTGATCTTTGGGATAAAGGCGTCTAAATATGCTGTACTGGAAATGTGTCTCCTAAAAGCTTGAGGGCTAGGCAATATACAAAATGGTTAGTTCAAAATTTAATCATTTATAAATAAGCTCAGCTTTAGTTTTTGCTATATGAAGTGTTCCCTATATTTACATAAGCTTGCAGTTAATGCTTTCAATTAGAAGGTGATTCCATGTTATATAAATGTGTTATGAAAGAGATACTGAGGAACTTTTGTTTATAAAAACAATATTCGAGATATTAAGGGTTCCCTTATCTTTTCCCTACAATTGTACTTTTGTTTAATCAATTCTATCTTATTTTGAATCTGTGATTAACTTTTTCCTGCTGCGCACTTTATGGACTTTTACTTCTAGATAATATAACGTTTTTGGTATCAATTTGGCCACAACAAGGTTGTCTTTACTCTCTGGTTTATGCAGCCAAGAACAACCTTCAACAATTTAAACCTATTTAACTAGACTATTTTGTGTGTACTTCGGCATGGCCTCGACAGCTGCATTTTCTTTTCTTAAGTATTTCTTTTGGCAGAAAAAGAAAGAGGGGAAAAAGAAACGAGTGACTTGGCTTACTTTGCTCGCATGCTGCCGCGCTTAGACGTCTGCTAGTTGGGACTTAGATTTCAACTGTGACTGTGACTTGGCTGGGCTTGGAAGGTAACTCTTTCTTTCTTTAGTTCTTTCGACGCTGCTAAACAGCTGACATGGAGTTGTGCTACAACCGCAATAAACTTAAATAAAACTAATTGCGTGTTAGGGAAATTAAATAAATTTCGAATAATACAAACAGTAAAGCAAATTTGATTGACAACAACATGCAATTCGAGCAGGGTTACTACAACTACTACTACTGCTACTACCCCCATTCCCAGAGAGTTGTTTCCACCCCAATTTACTTGCCCTAAACTGCTCAACTAAACAACCCCGCCGCGAACAAAGCATTGTGTTTATTGCTCTGGCATTAATCAATGTGCGGTGTTGGGCTTGCAAACTTGGCTATATTTTAGATAGTTTCAAAAGAACTAATTAAGGGAAAGTATAAAGTATGACATGCTGTTGAAGTTATAGATCATTTTCCGTCACTTAACATATAATTTTGTGGAACCAAGTTCATTTGTTTCATACATTTGATCAATTGTATTTCGCACACCTCTAGACTTTTAAAAAATCAAAATACACCACAAAACGTAACTCAAACATAAGACAACTGATCCAAGCTGTCTTTCTACATGTCTGTACTAATTAAAGTACTTTGTTTTAGCTACTTTTTGGCCTTTTTTGAGGTGTATCAGCACTGTTGATAGGGGGTGCTGTATGCCCGGTCCCAATCCCCCCTGGTTGGTGCCTGTCTACCTGCTCTGTCAATTTGATAGCCCCATTCCTTCCCCGAAATGTTTATTTGTAGGACCCAACGGCACGCTAGCTTTTGTGCCCAACTAGCCGAGCGGAAACGGAACGCTCTGAACATTTATGAGACAGCCAAATGTCTTGTCCCTAGTTTCTCGAGCGGAGCAAGACACCTGAGAGGGGGGAGGGGGAGGAAGGTATTTCGGGGAAAATCTAAAGGGAGCCCCTTTGACTTGCTGTGTGTCTACCTGTCGCTTTTTGACATGCGAAAAGGCGAATCGCGGGCTCGCCAAGGGGGGGGAATGAATGCCTCATCATAATCAATTGGCGTCATTTGACATTTTAAACTAATGGGGCGTTTATGTGGCTGTATAATTCACGAAGAGCATAATATTCGAGTATAATATCAATTGAAAATATAAGAAACTTGCAATAAATTTAACCATTTAAAGCGAAAAATTATTTGAAATAATTTAAAAGTAAAAAATTATATAATATAATATATACAATTTCTAAAAAAAAAAATGATTATCAAATTACCAAGAAATCTAAATATTAATCATAAATAGAAGCATTCGTTAGTGCGTAGTTTTCCTTTTGTTATAAAAGATAACCTTTTGCAAGGTACATACAGTCTGAACACAACAATAAGAATTCCACTTTAGTTTTACGTTTTTATAACCGCTAGAAACATCGCGATATTTCGATAAGACTCTCGTGTGAACGAAGAAAACGAGATAGGGGCATGGGCATGAAAGCGAGAGCGGGATGGCGCGACTCAGTGACTGCCGCAAACTGTTATACGACAGACTGTTATATGTGCACGCAAAAAATGCCGCCGTCAACAGGCATATACACACACACCAGCATACAAAATTGCCGATGTGTATGTGTGCGAGCGTGTTCGTGTTTGGGGAATACAGACAAATTAAAACGCTATAAAAAAGCAAACGAAGCAAAGACACGTTTCACAAATCAAGCAAATTCTTTTTATGACGTGCGCTGTCGTTCTTGTTGCTTTTCCCCATTTCTTTTGCGGATGGGGGGGATATGCACAAAAAATAAACGAAGAGAATGAGGCACGAGTAACTGTCAAAATTTAGCAGACCATGTGTTTTTCCGCACCCCCTCTCTTCCACGCTTTCGCTTTGCTCTGCTTACACTAATTACTCATCACCTCTCGTTCGTAGGTGTAGAGAAAAAAATACAAAAACACGACGGAGGGCATGAAAATGGCGACGTAGGAAATTAACCAAAAGAGTTTCATAAGCAGATGTTTTTATTACTCACATTATTCCTTCAATTTTGATTTCCTCTTTACTTTCGTCTGGATCGGTAAAAAGCGATTTTCTTCTCGTCCGCTGCTCTGCTTTTGGGAGAGAATCTGTGGAGTCCTCGGCTGGTTTCGAGTTAGAACGAAACGCCCGCTGCGATTGAAAGTTACTATTACTGGATAGCAGTAGCGTCGGTTGATATATCTCCCGATTCTTGCGACTCCCGTGGAACTGTTGTCGGTGTTCGTAGCAGAGCGAAGAAGCGAAAGTACCGCTGTTGGTTGTGGAGAAAAGAAAATGGCGACGTTGCGTTATACATTTCTCGGAACTCTGGGAAATCAATAGCGAGTTGCGCCAGCTGCAGGCAGCCGGCGCCGAAAAACTCCCGCCCGCCCGGCGGGATATGTATTGCACTAGTTTAAGCATATTTCACTATTTCTAGGCTATTCCTAAGTACACTTTTCGTTATGTTAAAACAAGAAGCAGCACATCCGCGCGTGTCTTACCTAACCTCGTCCAAAAATCAGAGTGGCCGAATAGTGTTCGGCGATTTAAGATGTAAACATGACTGACTTTAGTGAAAATACGACGGATTTTCGACTTGGTGGCAGCTGGTCATACTCGACGTAGCAAAGTCGTAATCGAAATACGTAAGAGGGGGATAAAAATGGTCACACATCAATTCACAAGCGAAAACTTAAGAGAAGCGAAGAGAATTTGGTGACGTACGTAAAATTAAATTGTATTACGTTAACATCGAGCTACAGCCGGAGGGTGGTTGTCTTGGGTAAACAAAGGAGTGAAACTAAGTTAGAAAGAAAAACGTACTCAAACGAAATTATGGAAGAAAATACGTTATAATTTGAATAAAAGTGTTTTGGAAAACATTTATTTAAATTTGTATTATTTAACTAATAAGTATAACAAAAATACGTATTTAATTTAATTTTATTTTGTTTTATAAAACCATGTATGAACTATTTAAAGTTTTATTTTAAGAAAAACTCAGTTAGGAACTTACAATTTTCAATTTAATATATTATCTATAATTAATATAAATAGCAAGTCCTAGCTGAAAAAATGTATTGATTTATAGTAAAAGTTTATAGCGATTTATAGTATTGATTTATAGAAAATTCAGATTCCAAGAAAATTCTAAAAAATGAGTTCAACACCACCAGTAAGTATATAGAACAAATCTGTTATTTCAGAATATTAACTCATCTTTGACCCCATAAAATAATTATCAGAAAATGTAAGATATAATTTTAATTTATTTTATATACAAATTTCTGTTTTACTTAATCAAACGTGCAAAGATTTGGTATATTTAACAAAAATATTTAAATATTTTATTTCTCAAAGTCTACAGATTTATTTATTAAATAACAAATCAATGTGATTTATAAAAACCCTTAAAAAGACAAAGTCTACAGCCCCAATAGGCGACAGAAACTGCGATACATTTTGGCCCTGCGACCCTTCAAGCATCCATAGAGTTCATTGATCTTAAGACAATCGATCTTGCTGATGGTCTTCCGCTGACCAATCCTGACTCCGGGCTGCAAGGGGGTCATCGTGGGCTTCTCTCCCTTCCGTTTGCTGAAGTAAAATTCACCGTAATGCATTACGGAGTTGTAATCGTAGTCAAAGGCGTATTTCCCCTTCTTCTTCGACACGAGCTTGAAATTCTTTCGGAATTTTGGTACAATATTATCCCAATGTATCTTCACGAAGTTATCCCGATCGGCTCGAGATTGTTCGTGATATATGCCAATGGCATGCATTAGTTCATGCATTATCCTTCCCTCGCTGCTGAAACAATGGGCACTGTTCTCATCGGGTCTCTGCAGGGACACCACTTGCTCTCCACCCCTGCGACCCACATAGGACCAACATCCCTTGGGTCCTTCCTCCGGTGGTTCAATCAACAGGTAATCCTCCACTTCCCCATCATATGGCACAAATCTCACACAGGTGAGTGAGTTAAATGTCTTCAGAGCCTGGACGATGGCCTGTCTTTCCTGATTCACATAACGCGGACTGATCTCAAAGGGAATGGTGCCATTGGGCCAAAGCCGCTTGGGATGTCTCATGGGATTCACTCCCAGACGAAGGGTAATATAGGTATAAGGATCAATGGCAATATCGCCTTGAAAGAGACGCGGCATTGTCTCTGGATCATCAATGCCCAGATCATCATCCCCTATATCCGGACCATAGGGATCGTATTCGTCTGCCGAAAGGCTGGTAAACTCATGCTCAAAGAAATCCACTCCAGCGGGATACTGTCGGGTGGGGATTTTAGCACTTTCACTACCCGGTGGTGCGGATAGCACCACAATCAGTATCAACCACAGCACCACCACCACCACCACTCCACGGCTCAAGTGTGCACCACACATTATGTATTATGCGGAGGGACTTTTATTTCGATTCGATCACGCCATGCCGCATCCAAACCGAACGGCTGCACACGAAATTGGTAACTGAACCCGGCTCGAAAGCCCAACAAGCCAAGGTAGCTAACCAAAACCTGGCACCTTAATTTATGCAAAATGTGCGAAAATAAAAACTAAATAATGTTGAATGTTGGGCAGACGCCACGCAATAGGCCGCCGCCGCCGCCGCGTGCAAACAAAATCCAAAATTATCGGCTGCACACACATCACACACAACACACAACACACAACACATTGCACCTTGCTCCCCTCCCCTCGACCCCTCCTTAACTTAACTCTCTGATCAAACTCAGCTTAATCTCTCCCATCAAACACGAGTTAAACTCTCCGATTAAGCCCGGCCTAAACCTGACTGGGCGCTCTCGTAATTTAATGCCAAGCTGGTTGCCCACCAAGAGCGTTGGGCCAAGACTCTTAATGATCAGGGGGAATGGCTTAAAGCAAATGAATTTCACTTTTTTTTTATGTGTTTTGGTAGAGAGTATATTAGTTTTGGTAACAATTTGAGTTCATTTTTTTTTTTGTCTTGTTTTTTGAGAATTTTATATTCAAAATACATTTCTTAAAAATATAAGTAAAAGTCAGTTTGAATAAACTTATAATATATTTCTAAAAATTCTTGTTCTTGTTTTGTAATAAGCATTTAATAATAAAATATATTTCTAAAAATTTAAATAACACTCAGTTAACCAATTTTTAAAATGAAAGAAAATATCACCCCTTTTAAATGAACAAATAAATTATTTTTATTGTATTTATATCTTTATTACTAGTTAACCTATTAATTTCGTAAATTCTTTTATTATATTTATTTATTAATTTCTTTTTTTTTCAAGGTTGGTCAACTTATTTTATTTGTTACTGATATTTAATAACATGGACAATGGGGTAAGTTTTAAAACTCTATAATATTAAAACATTTTTTGTATATATATTTTATTTATGTACATTATGCTATATGTATACTATAGTATTATGTAGAATATACAATTGTATTATATTCTGAAAAGAAGTATTTGGTTTTTAATTTTTCTTTTATTTAATCTAAAAGTTATATATTTAAATAATGATTAAGTAATCGTTTAATGCCAAATTAGCTAGTTCAAAAAATCTATCTAAATTCAAATAAATCATTGTGGGTCATTGTTATAAAGTCTATTAATTTTATGCCATTATTATAAGTGATACTCTTTACAAACATAAATAAAAATATTCCTTTATTTCTTTAATGGTGTTTAGGTTGGCGCTAAATGGTTAAATGTAATAAATTTCGCAAAAATTGATTTCAAAGCGACCCCTTCTCTAAGCGTTTCCGTTTCCCCTTTTATTTTTCAACACGGCGCATTTCGTAAACACTCAAAGTCACTTTCAGTGTCTCTTTTCCCCTATCATAGTCAGAAATTTCCACTATTACACTGAGAAAAATATAAATTAAAACTCTGTTACATTTTATAGAAATTTCCAAGTAAATTTAGTAACTTGATTATACAATTTTGAATTGTTTTCTGTGCACACTCTCCAAGTGACTGTCTGCCAGTTTGTCTGCTTTTCAATTTGTTTGCTTTTCCAGTAAGTCTGATTGTCTGTCTGACGGTTGGTTTGCTTTTTGATATGTGACACCTTCAACTAAAATCTCCGGGCTGCACTTTGCACTTTCTTGGGTCCGCAATTAGACAGTTTGCAGGTGCAATTGTTTTGCACCAAATATGCATAATCCTTAAGGTGCGGCTGGTGCTGCCTTACAATCCATTTTAATCGCTCATCATTAATTAGGCGAAATTAGTTTGCCGTCTTAATTAGCATAACAACAAACAGGGCCAAGTATCAGGTCGAAATTCATCTTATCGCGATAACTGAAATGAATTGGTTGCATTTGCCACAAATTAAGTTTTGATTTCCAAATCGCCGAGTAAATCGAGGGCTTTGGGTTAAAGACGCTTTGAAAATGGCAAAGTAATGATTGACTAGGTAAAATGTTAACCGAAAAAGAGCGACATTTGTATACCCTTTCTTTTGAAATTTATTGAAAACATAAATGGGTATTTAATTTGTAGGCAAAGGGTACTAACTCTGTGAAGTTCAAGCATTTCCAAGGCTGTTATTATAAAATAAATTATATAAAATATTAGAGCCTAACAAAATACATACCTTTTCTTTCTCTGAATTTTCTTATTTACTACTTTTCTATGTTTATTTGCGTTTGGCATACAATAATAAATTAAACTACAACAATTGCAAGACAAATGTACCAAATAAATGTCCCATTTATGATATATTTTCTGTGTAGCTACCAATAAATTCAATAAAATAATATAAATTGGAATAACTAAAACCTAACAGGGCATAAATTATATTTTATTGAACTCGGTTTTAGTTGGAATTCAAGCAGACTGACCTTCCTTTATGGATTTTGAAATCCCCTTCCCTCTAAGGGTCCTACCAATTCTTAACCCATTTAATGCCAAAGGGGGTCTTCTTACCACTTGACTTTATGTGTCAGCTGGTCAATAAAAATGCGCAGAAAAGGGACAGTGATGAAAGAGATAGAGTGTGAGAGAGATATAAGCATAAACATCAAAAGCAAAATACAAACAATCGAAACCGAACGAGTCCAAAAAAGCCAAGAGCCAAAAGCCACCGACTAATTCAAAGTTGTCACGTAATAAAACACAGAAACATCGAAAGGCAAAAACAATACGCCACAAAAAAAAAAAAAACAAAAACAACAACAAAAATATATACAAGAAATTTGCATTTCTGTCAGGGCGAAGACAGTCGAAGCAATCGATGGCGACAAGAAATTTAACAAAGTACAAATTGTTATTTGATTTGATTACGTAATGACGTCACACGCACACACACACATACCAACCCAAGCAACCCCCTCCCCCCTGCCTTTGTATCTTCTTTCTCTTTCTGTTTCTGTTTCAACTTCGATTTCCGTTTCTGTTTCGGTTTCAGTTGTTTTTTTTTTTGCCCTTGTTTTGCCTTTGTTTTTCTTGCTGTTTTCGCTTTGGTTTATTTTGACACCAAAAAGTGATATCTCCAATTAGATTCCAAACTGAATTAATTGAATTGCATTAAAAGCGGTTGGTTGTCGGTGATTTGTGGCCATGGCGATAGCAGAATTCCCCCTCCAATTCAGACTGCATTAATCTGCATAATAGAAAGATAATAATTGCCGTTTGTGTAAAGCTGCTTAAATGGAAATGAATTTCTTAGTTGGAATCTCTGGAATGGTATTAAAACAGCAACAAAAATACCAAAGAGAGGGGGGTGTGAGGGAGCAGCGTTTATTAATTAAAGCTTTAGTTAAGAAGAAAGTTTTTTTTTTGTTTTTCTCGGGCTCTTTGTTTCATTCTTTTGCGCTTAATAAAGCGGAAGCGTAAAAGTTTTTTTTTGTGTTATCAAGATTTTCACCGCATGGAAAAACTTTTAATTCCGCTAATGTCGATTTTGAGATGCGGAAACTTACTGTGCTCTGTGTGTGTGTGTGTGTGTGTTGGTTGGGATTTTTGCAGAACATTTTCCCAACTTCATATTAAGTCGCTGAGGAAAATTCAGCCATAGAACATGCTCGGCCTAAGACGGCTTAACTATGAAAATAGAAATAAAAGCAAAAGGAAGAAAGCCGGAGAAAGTTCGATGGACAATGATGACAACTCAATATTCACCTAAGGCTTAATTATGAACGATTTCATATACTTATTACCTTTCTTTAATTTAGGAAATTGAACCAAAACTCTTAGGCTTTGGGAAACTTTATATTTAATACCTTTTTCAAGGTATTTAAAGTTATTTTATTTAATTAGATTTATTTGTGAACAGTTTTCAAATATTTAAAGACACTTTCTTATGATAATAATAAGAAAAACACACATAGTTTATTTGCTATATTCCAGGGTATTATAATTTTAGTCAGAAGCTTGCAACACAGTGAAGGAATCACTTTTCACCCTATAAATCATATATATTCTTGATCAGCATCAACAGCCGAGTCAATCTAGCCATCTAAGGTCGGAAACAACAATTTTAAATTTTTGTTCAAAATTTTATAAGGTTTTTCGTCTTTCATATTTAAAAAAAAATTGCAAAAATTTTGAATTCCTAAAATCTGTAAATGCGGTATGCAAATTTGTTAACGTGATAAAAACTAGCACAGAACAGAGTCCCAATTGAAAATTAATGCATTTTTGGCTTAGTTATGATTGATCGAAATTGCACAATGGAAGGGTATAAAACATTCGACCTTCCGAACTAAGCTTTATTATTGTTTTAGCCTTCATCCATTCTAAAGGTATCTTAATGAAACTTAGCATATCAAATTACATTGTAAATTATTGTATTATTTAATTACTATTTTATATAAAGCAACAGCTGGCTTAAAACTAAAAGCTAACTTATTTTGTAAGAACATAAGCTGCTGTTGCTTAATTGTATTGTAATTGTAACTTATATTTCCAGCTTTGGGTCGTAACTAAAAGCTTTTTGAAAGAGCCAAGCTTACATTCATCACCTTCGTATTCCCTCTCTAGCCCACAAGCCGAAGCATCGCCGTCATTCGTTATCAGAACGATCTCTCCCACTGACCAACGCTTATCAGTTTATCCCAAGTCATTGACCCAAGCAGAGGAACAATAAAAAAAGACAAGCAAGAAGATCGCTAAATAAAATGTGTAAAACTTACTGCGCAATAGCAAATATATTAAGAACTAATAAGTGAAAAACTATTAAAGCGAAGTGAAAAGTTTTAGGGAAAAGTGTTAGAACACATCGAAAACGAAAGCCGGGCCTCTGTTGTCTTTTTTTATGTTTTTTTTTTACAGTGCTAAGATCAAATGCAGTTTTATGCTTAATAGTGTTTTTTTTTTGTCTTTTTTTGTATGTGCAAGTGAAAGAAAAGAAAGAATACCAAATAAAGTGCAAAGTGTAAAGTGAAAAGT